TCTGTGGTGAAATGTAAAATAATAATATTTTAAAAAAAAAAAAATTTTTTTTTTTTTTTTATTTTATTTACAATAACGATAGTTTACGGAATTTTGCGTGGATTCTTTGCCTACCATTCGTTTAGAAAATTTTGTAGATTCGGCTCAGATTTCTGAACCACTTACGCGGCCGATCATTAACACCATTAATATGGCCTGAGAAATATCAGGTGCCTTATACGTATATTATTATTATACGAATAATAACGGTAATAGAGTACGTATATAAATCAAATAGGTTCTTTGATCTTTTTCCTTTCAATAAAACATTCAAATATTACTAGACGATAGTACAAACCTATAACCTTTATAACAATTAATAAATCTATCCAAGTAACAGTATTGTATACAATAAAAATCTTCGAAAAGTAAAATAATCAATTGATTTCAATTCGCACGAATTTCTCCCTGAGAATTTTATCGAATTGCAAAATTTTACTTTGACCTATAGAAAAAAGAATTACAATGTAAATAAGCAAGAGAACTACTAGTGGTGATGAATTCAAGTCGTTACCAGTTTTGGATTAGTATGGATGCAGATCATTACCTTCATGTGACCAGATAAAATAAATATTCATACAATTCGAGATCGCAAATTTTAAATAATAAAAGATGCGTGAGTCCGAAAGTTTAAGACTTGACACGCTTCCAACGGAAGTTATAGTCGCAATATGCCAATATTTATCAATTTTTAGTAAATGTCAACTTTGTCGAGTCTGTTTACGGTTTCAATTAATAATTTATAATAACAGTGAATTTTGGCAACATCTCGACTTGTCACAATTTGGTGAAAACCTTACAAATCAACACCTGTTTACGATTCTACGAACGAGATGGAAATCAAATCTACCAAATCGATGGTTAGATATAAGTGGATGTCGATTGATCTCTTCTTCTGCACTAGAAAAATTAGCAGAAACACATTATAGATTTCAAGGAATTCACTTGAATGTAGAACCTAGGTTTGATATTTGGGAAGTAGCATGTAATTACGATAAATGGATTAAATCTCAATTTTATAGAAAATGTCCCACATTCACAAAAATTGGACGTCCGGGTTTATATCGACTGTGGCCGACGACAGCAAAGTCATCAGCACAACAATGGCAAATCAGTAATAAGTCCATTCAAATAATTCTTCAAGGTTCGTTTCAAACACTCAAATATCTTTCACTCGGGAATCAAAGTTTAAGTCGTGAAACTGCGACAATTATCGCATCTTGCAAAACCTTAACACAATTAGATTTGAGCGGTACCAATTTAGATAACGTATCTCTTCAAGACATTCTATCACATACTAATCAGCTTGTTTCACTCAAGCTATTGGATTTAGAGTTGTCAAATATGACTTTAATAGTGATTTCACTCTTAAAAAATTTACGTCAATTACATTTCAGCGTAATTAATAAAGGGATAATTTCTTCAAAAACGATTGCTGAAATGCTAAAATGTTTGCGAAAATTAGATGATTTCAGAATGAACCAAATAATGATTGGTGAGGTAGATCGGGTGATTACGGAGGGCTTGGCATGGGTTGTTTGTGATGAATCGGTTGAAGATGAACCGGTTGAAGATGACACAAAAACGATACATCAATACGATTCCCATGGAGATAAGTCTGTTCAACAAGATAGAGCGCCTATTCGTTATCTAGACCTTTCACCAAAATTAGATATATATCCACGGTGTAGAGAACGATCAATGCAGATTGAACATTATATCTCCATTAGTAATTATTCCTTACAATCTTTGGCTGTAAATCATCCATTTTTGGTTTCTTTTAGACTAGTCAATCCTTATGCAATCAATGCTGAAGGAGTTGATGCACTACTTTCAGTACTCAATTGTCTAGAAATATTTGAATTGAGATGGCGTAGAGCAGAAGTGGACCAAATTCATAAATTAACTCCAAAATTTTGTCCAAAATTAAGAGAAATGATCTTACATGGAGTGGATATTGCAGATTTTGATGTTTGGTTTGGTGAGCACAAGGATTTGGAAGTTGACCAATGCGAAAATGAAATTTCATTTGAAGGACGTTCGGAAGTGATTTTTAAAAATTTAGAAATTCTTGATTTGGTGGATGCTTCAGGGTTTTCTAATAATCATTTTAACATGTTGATTAAATATTGTTTAAAAATCAGAAAAGTTAGATTATTACGAACTAATGTTGTTTACTTTCAAATTAACATTGATAGTAGAACGATTTCGAAAAATGATTCTGGCTGGATCGATATTAAATAAATTGTATTTATGTTGCTTCACATTATTTTATATTGTAATTTTCTCTTTTTTCTCTTAATTTGTAATATCTGCAAAAACATGCATTTTGTTTAAAAATATATATATATGCAGTCGCACTCCCATATAAGCACTATATAAGCATATCATGTTTATAAGCACATCAATTTTTTGGACCAACTATATACTATTAAATGTATCTTTTATAGAACACATTTTATGGGTCCTGATGGTGTGATGGTGTGATTATTTGGGAGTGCGACTGTATTTGTCAAATTTACCCATAAAATTGTCACAAGATAAACTGTAACTTACTTTCGTTATATACGTAGTAGGATGGCAATTTCCAAATGCTTTTGCAGTATATAAATTTTCTTGTATTCCCTTACATTAGGAAATATTAAAATAATTATATGTTGGCCCCGTGACTATTCACTTTTTACGTTATCGGTCTTTTTAATCCTCCGAATTACCGTCATTACCGTTACTACGTAATTAGTTATTATCCTTATTTTTTTAGTAATTCTTTATAAACAAAATCACAAGTACGTGACAAAAACGGTCAATTACATAAAGTAAGGCTGAGAAAATTTCAATTTTCTCTTTTGGTATGAGTATTTTCCCACACATATTTGTGACAGATTGCCCTATGCGTATTTGTTACATAAAAGAAAACCTGTTAGTACTAGTTTCGGAAAATATATTTTTGACATCCGAGATCTATTCCGAAAGCTTAATATATAAGTAGCAAACCAGATCAATAAAAAAATACGCGCTTTCCCTTCCTTTGTACAGCCTCATTCATTCCTACCAATATCATTCCTATATCTATATCATTCATATCATTCTTATTGCTACTGCAGATATAAAAACAAAGGCTTGTTTTGTCCTGGAACATTGCGGTGTTTAACGGTTATATATATATGTGCGTATATATATATTTTAATGTTTTTGTTAAAACGAATATTACATTAAAATTGGTTTGTTATTAATATTTTATAAGAAATGTTTTCAAAACGACTCTTTTCAACTTTACGATTGGGATCCACTTTTACCAATCGTTCTTTTTCATCCTTTCCTGCTCAACATATCGCCAACGCTCCTTCACTTATACAATTCTCTCCAATTCTTGCTTCAACTTCGAATTTCTTTAACAATCGTACAATCCATTCAAGTCCAACGTTAAATAATGTGGCACCAACTGCTTATGAGGTCGATAAAGATTATTGGTCTCTAAAAACTACAATTGATGATATTCGAGCAAAATATGGATTAGGAGGTGGTACTAGAATTAAAGACCCAAATCTCGATCAAAATTCTGACTTGGACTTAGAAATTGATTTAACTGTTGCTGACATTAAAAAGATTGTTAAAATTCAACAATTGTTGGAAAAGGCCGCACAAGATTTATCATTTTTGGTTTCTGCTTCACCCCCAGAAATCTTTAGCGATCCTAATAGTATCAAAGATGATGATGTTGCTGTTAAAGCTAATGTTAAAAAAGCCTTATGGTTGGTTGAGGACGATGATATGTCCGGAAACGCTGAAGAAGCAATTAAGAGCTTCAAAGAAAACCGAGTTGCTGGTAATGTTGTTATGAATGCTTATACCTTAGAAGATGGCAAAGATGAGAATCCTCCTGTCGGATTTCGGCAAGACTTGTATCAATAATCTAGTTGGTAAGTTTCATGATTATATTTATTTGGTATTGTGAGTTAATTATGTAGTCTATTGTATGTATATAATATATGATATTAATTTTTTTACAATTTTTAATGTTTAGAGGGTGAAACATTTTTTATCACTACAAATCATAGTGGCCATATTTTTTACTACCAATTCTAAAAAATTTATAAAATAACATGAAATGTATTCATTTATTCTTTTTTTTTTTTTTTTTTTTTTTTTTTTGTAAATAGCCTTTTTATCTTTTTTTTTTTTTTAGAACATTTTATGGGGAATGGTTTTTTTCTATGCTTTATGAACAATTCTTCTCTTTTGAACAATTGTAATAAGCTTTGGATTTATATGGATTCTCATTGATTAATACACTTTATGTAGTTTATGCAAATGCAATTGTCATTAATAAATGTGCTTGAAACAAAATTTGTTGTATTGAAAATTTCTTACAAGCAGATTTCATTTAAATGCACAAAAATAATCTCATTCACAATAGCACACATATGAAACATATGAATTCGCTAATTGCTATGCCATGCGGATCCTTCTGGCTCCTCCAGAATGCGATCTCCACTATTCTCAAATTCATCTTTAATCTTATCTTGTACATTATTGACTAATGTATCAAGTATATATTGGCTTTCACCAATAAGAAGATCATCATCTGTGTCATATGCATCGTCTTGCAAATTTTCAGGGTTAACCAATTTATTTTCAATAAATTTAAAAACCAAATCAATCACCGAATGTGTTATATATTCGATAAGCTCAGATCCTAAATAATATAAAATAACATTGTTGGCATTAATGAAATCGACAAATACTATTGTTGAATGGACTTACCTGATGAAAAAGAATGACATCCAAATCTTGTGTCGATTATTTCTTCTCCTATCGGTAGATCTGACATGAGCCAATTTCGACAGTGCTAAAAAAATTTAAGATATTTAAATAATGGCTTTAAAATCGCAAACTAGTCCAAAATAATTAAAATGAATACCTCGCGTATCCAAACTTTCATACGATCTGTCTTTACAAAGTCAATAGAATGAGCTGACACGGTAAACTCAATGGCTTTTACTCTCTCAGATAATTCATTAACTAAAGTCGAACCACACATGTTTGATAAGTATCACCGAAACAACGCGATATATCCATTACATAATACAACAAAAAAAGTTAAATAAAATAAAAGAGGAAGGTGTTCGCCTAACTTACAATGGTTTTGCATAACATCTATAGCACAATGACCTCCGTAGCTGTGGGCGACAATGAAAATCCTTTGTGCCTTAGACGGTCTATGTGGAATAAAGAATTTAGTGTTTACATATTATAAACGAAAAAGAACAATTAAAAGTTAAATTACATTAAAGCATACATTACGATATTCTCAAATACATAACTAGTGTGGACTTCCGGGGATTCACTTCCTAAAAATAGATAAATGATATCGATAAAAAAATAACCATCTTTTTTTTCGTAAAATCTCGACATAATGAGCGTTTGCGTGTTATTTCGAGTATGCCATTCTGCTTTTCAGGATAAACGACAATTTTCCAAGTCTGGTTATTACTATATATAAATCTGCTAATATATTATTTGAGATGAGCGTTATTTCGGGACGCCCATGAGCGTTGTTTTGAAATTAACTGTGCTATTCTTAAAGGATCCGATTTTCGGAATAACGCACATTATCATTATTCCGTGATTTTACAGTAATCGCGAACAGCTCACAATTTACCTGGAATCGTGTCGAATGGTGCAGTAGTCTTTGGCAGAATAAGCTATATAATCAATACGATGAGATTTTATTTAAATATTTAAATTCAGTAAAATCCTCTAGCTTTATATATAATACATACCACACCTTTCCCTTTATACCAAAATACCTCATTAGGATTTAACATTACGACAGAAAAGCCCAATTCTAAAGCGCGTTTTGCATAATTGATCATTGAGCCATCCTTTATGATGGTTTGAATAATAAAAAAGTTAGTAAAAAAAAAAAAAAAGAAAAAAAAAAAAACAAAAAAAATCTGGACTCTTCAACATACTATAACAGAAATGTCTATAAGAGCTCTCCGCGACCAGATACCGACTCTGTAATTTGATTTTAGATTAATTCATAAAGTATACCTATTAAAAAATTATGAAATCGAATGATTTTTACTCACGAATGAGCAGTTCCAGGAATGAATATAATCATCTTGTCATTAGTTTCATAATCTGGCCTAAAATTTTTTATATAATTATTACAATAATAACTAATAACAAATATATGTTTCGATCCGCATACGTCAGGTAAATCCTGGTATGTATATCATTTTCTGTAGCGCCAAGGGGTAGTATCTTTTTTATAAAACCAAGTTCTTTTTGAAGCTTTTCTTCGACCCAAGAGCCCAAAAGTTCTGTAATTTTATAAAGAGCTCATACAAATCAAAATTTCGCAATAAGCGCATATAAAAATTCAAGCAGTAAGAAAAAAAAAAGTACCCATTATAATATCATACAAACGCTCATTATAAGCCCTATCTTTTACTTCAAATTTATAAATTTCGCCGTCTATGGGACGCAATTTTAGATCACTAAGAGTAGCTTAATGTATAAAGTCTAAAAGATCTTCACCTTCTATCGATACAAGTTGATTTTTTTCATCAATCTTATACCCAAGTGCCTCCAAGTCACGAGGAATATCACAAGGAACTTTCTTTGTTTTTTTCTTTTTAAACATTTTATAAATTCAATGGTGTGGTATAGAAAACGTTTAAAAAACTAATTTCGTGATTGATTAAGGGTAGGGTGTACAAATTTCCAATTTCATATAAAATAGATTGTAGATCAACTTTGTGTAACGAATTTTATA